ATAAGTTTTAATAACACTTTGTTCACATGTGTCACTCCACCAAGGTGCTGGAGGTTTGCAACGATAGTTATTTGCTTTGACAAACTTTAGTACAGTATCCCTCTTAAGTGTATCAAGCTTTTCGATAAATTCGTCATATGACTGTAATGGATTCTCATTATTAACTTCAAAATTAGAAAAAGCAGTTATAGACAGCTCATTGTATTTCGTCCAGTCTGTCTTGATGTATAAGAATTTTTCAATGAGAGGATTAATTTGGTATCTATCAACGGACAATAAAACACGAGTAAGCGTAGGAAAATGATAGCTCCCCATACAATCATCATGCATCCACCATTCGCATAGTGGAGTGATTGGAGTACTACAAAAGCTGACATCGATATAGCCGATAGATATCGGTTAGGATAATTAATAGTAGTGAAGCTTTCATTGTTAATGACACACAGATCAAATTCATCAATTAAATCGTATAATTGATGACCCCGACTTTTCGTGGTCATACACCTAAATGCCACATGGTAAGCGTTGAAATCTCCAGCCACATATATTGACTTGACAAATCTCTAATTATATCACGCAGTTTACTTATTCTGAAGTTACCATTCAAGGGAGGGCAGTATACACATAAAATCGTTAAGTGTTTACCACTTACATATAACAATAATGATATAGTCTGAATGTCTTGGTAAAATCTGGTTTGAATAATATTATATTTAAAATACGGTTTGATCAAAATTGCTACTCCACCGTGCTCATTTTGGGCATTATGATAGTGGGAATTATATCTATCTTAATCTTTAAGCCAAGTTTCATTGAGTAGACATATTATATCAACATTTTGCTGAGCTAAAAATTTAGATAATAATGGTTTTTTTCCTATGTATACTTTGAATATTGTACTGAGCTAATGATTTCTTAAATTTACGCGAACAGTACACATTGAATAAAACTATTATTTACGGATTTTATCGCGTTTAATTCACCATAAAATGGTGGAGCGACGAGCCTAAGGTTACCGAAGTCTAATTCCCCGGTCGAACCTTAAACCTATTACGCGAGATATTAACCAAAGTGGACTGTATCTGCGAAATGCTTCTACGCTTACATAAATGACGACTATAGCACGCGGTACAATGCACTCGCTCTTCCCCAAAACGAACTGGCAAATAATGCCAAATCTATGAAAGGAATCCTGCTTGATTAGGAGAAAATAAATTGGAGCGGACACAATTATATCAAGCAGTAACTATTATTAGGAATGTTCATTCACCGGGGTGTTTCTTCTATGCTGCTTGGGCACTATATAGCTGCGACTTCTGGAAGATACTCTGGGTAGACTCTCTGGGGCCCCAGAGATACGTCGGGAGAGAAGCGGTGTGGTTCCAACGACAAGCGCGGCGGGAAGAGCTCTTTAGGACACTATTATCCTAGGCGGTGTGTATTAAACGCGATAAAATCCGTAAATAATAGTTTTATTCAATGTACTGAGCTATACATAACTGCTGCATGTTTTGTACTTTACTGTCCATTAATGTGACAGATTTTTTAAAAGTAAGTCTTTAATGAACAGTGTTCATTATCTGTTTTATTACCCAATTCAACCAAAGTTTGAGCCATTGCCATCAGAATATTCTTATTGTTTGCAATTTGAGCCTTAAATTAAGTTTGGTTCAAGATGGGTTCAGGCACTGTTTTATTTACGTTATTTACAATTTTTGCATTTTTATTTAATTTATGTACATTTTGGCTTATTGATGGTAGGGTCATAACAGTGCTGCTCGACTGTGCCGCTAAAGACGGAAAATCAGATGACGTAATTTTATTAGCCACAGAGGCATAAGTAATGTTACTCTTTTTTTGAAGTATTTTTTTTTTCATTTTTATTGGGCAAGACACAACACAGGTTCTCTTTTTTATCGCAGTCTCTGAAATTATGCTCCCCAGCACATATCGATATTATTTACCATTACAAATTTTCGCAGGGTGGTTGAACTTGAAGCACCGGAAGCATTGCCGTAACGGCGGGACATATTCAAACACCCTGAACGAAAATAGGTTATATTGGACGTTATCGGGCAGAACATTTGATAAGAAAGTTATACTGACACTCTCGAGACCGACAGTACTTTGACCGACTTTTTTCGTGAATCTTCTCACTGAAATAATTTCATAGATCGAAGTCAGTTTCGTATATAAATCCTTGTTCGAAATGCTGGTAGGCACATATCTGATGATTCCAGTTTTTTCTACCTGCGCTGCAGGATTATGTGCCTTCAAGTTGTGTTTTGTTAAAAAGTCTGTATTTATGATGAAATTATTTGCAGTGTTGTATTATTAAAAAACAACGGCAATTTTATTGGCATTGACTCTATGTAAAGCTACCACACCTTTCACCTCCGAAGTAAAAATATGATTTCAGTATACTGGGCTTTTATTTCCAATTTTAACCTGTTGGTCCTGGCTTTCAACAAAAACTTTGAATTCCGTATTTGTACAATGTTCAGGATAAAGTAGAACCGGCTTAAAAAAAAAAAACCCCCGCCTACTTCAGGTCCACATTCCTTCGTACCTCTTTTACGAACAATTTTGGATCGTTTCGGAGTTCCACCTGGGTCCTCCGGTTCATTCATTATGATAATTCACACAGTGTACAATAATTTACACTGACTAAAATAAGTTTTGGTAATATTTACACAGGATATTTTTAACAAAAAACAGTAAAAATTCCTCGTTTGGAGTTCCCGCCAAAAAAAAATTTATCAAATGCTCCAGTGTGACCATCTTTAAAATACATCTTGGTTCGTAGCAAACTTGAATATCGTTGTATAAGTGTGGTCTCCCGCTTACAAAACCCACATTGAAAGAATCGAAAGTGTTTAAAAAGACCCATTAAACACCTAATCTTTCGTTTTAAGCTGTCAAGTCATAGTGAGTGTTACAAAAATAAACTCGATTATTTTAGGATGAAACCAATGGCAGTTCGTAGATCTCTTCTTGATTTGAAATTTCTTCATAAACTTTTCAATGGTAAAATTGATGACAGTGAGCTGTTGAGCAGATTTAATATTATTGTACTTCGGAGACCTCCTCGCAACCCATATCCTTTCTTTAAAACTGAGAGCACTCGAAAACTTGGACAGAATTCTCCAATAAGACGTATATCACGCGTATACAATGTATGTGTAAAAGACATAGCAACACTGGACATTGGTTGTGACAGGCTCACACTTTTTATGAAAAAATGTTACGACTGTTTAGAAAATTGATTATTCACTAACTTTATGCTAAACTTAACTTTTATTTGTGTTACAAAACCTGTTAACTATCTTTTGTTTGAAACTTATTTTTGTTCCAACTATCATTAAAGTAGGCAAATTATAAACACTGCTATTGTTTTAGAATGATGTGTTCTCCTATAATTGGTAGTACATAGTAATTTATAGATGTAAAGCATGTGTTAGAAGTAATTTAATATGTACAACTGTTGGAGATCCATACAAATAAATAAATAAATAAATACAGATCCTGCCAAATGCTATAGTGAATATTGCCTAAATACTGCCAACTTTATTTAATTATTAAACATTACAACAATTGTGTTCTACCAGAATACCAGACATGTTTAGCTCTGCCTTTTTAATTTCTCTTTGCAAGGAAGATTTCTTAAGGAATTGTTGTACCTGAAATAATTCAGTAAATTTAACATAAAATTTAAAGTGAATTTTGTTTCGAATGCAGTGTAGGACATTGGTAATCATAGCAGTCCCTTTGCGAAATTTGTAATACATACATATTTCAAGTGTCTCTTTTAAGAATAAGTAATTGAAATATTAACCATAAACTCGTATTAATGAATGCTTGTTTTAAGATTATCAACTTCACATAGAAACTTTTAAAATTGTTTATTGAATGTAATACAAACTATACGAGAAGTACAGGCAAAAGCCCCACATGCTGGAGAAGTATCCTGCCATTTTGCGCATTTTGAGTTGCCATAATGAAATCTGTTTTTAATTCCTCAGTACTGTCATGTTTTATAAAACGTCTACCGATCATGCCAAAGGCTAAAGTAAGTAGCCAATTCTGCCAAAATGGCAGGAATCTGCAACATATGGTCAAACTGCTATGCTCCTGATTTTATTGGTGTTGTTAAAACTTAAAATTCGCCGTTTAAGGCAGGCAGAGGTCTCAAACCATACACCTTGTTGTGTTTGTATATTATATTTGTATTTGTATTGTATATACTCTTGTATGTATTTTGTTTTAAGTAAGTATATTATTGTCATTGCGAAATTTTTGGGAGATTTTAAGGACTTAACTCCATAATAACTCAAGGTACCTAAAGGGATAAAAACTTTGAAGTTTATATCGCCGTCGAACTACATGTTGCATTGTTTTCTCTAATAGTTCACACGCGCAAACATTTAATATACAAAATTGCACCACTTTTGCTTAATATTACGAGGGAAGGTAAAAACTAATATATGTTTAAATTCCTCCACTTGTGCAAGAAGTTTATAGTATAGTGCACAGGCAACTAGCTTTGGTTACTCCACGTGCTTTATTTGCTGTCGTTATTCTGTCCATCCTGGTAATTGTTTAAGTATAGGCAAAACGTAATGTTGCAGCAAGGCTGTATCAAACCTTTTTTTAAACTTATTTTCTTTCCGAGGCATAGGGATGAGACCCGCCAACTTCTTCATTCCGGGCAGCTACTGAGAATTTCTTGAAGAAAAAAACTCCATAAAATGACTTTTTGTCCCAACCCGGGATTCGAACCCAGAGTCTCATGATCAGCAGTTACTACTACAACTACTAGACCAACGAGGCAGTCACGTTTAATACTTAAACGTGTATTATACTTTTTATTCGTTGTTTAATACTTAATGTACGTAACTGTGGTAAAATTCCTTTAATGATGGATTAATCGATTCTGGGGTGAAATCTACAACAAAATACTGCTAAATCATTTTATAACAATGTATTTTTACAAAATTTTACTACATATCTCCTAATAGCTCTCTGTCATGAGGAACTGCTGCGATGTCCCCTACAACAGCAATGGCCATGCTCTTTTCTGTAATGAAAATTAAGAAACTTAACTGATTAGGAATGGGTACAGAAAATTTACCGAGAATCCGCGAACCCGCATCACTTTCCATTGCCCGATGTATATCCTACCGTAATACAGATAACGATCATCTTTATTCAAGCTCAATAAAAGATATATTAAAACTTTTAACGTTATATGTGTCATTATAATTCGACAAGTAAGGTCGACTCCACATTTGATAAACTTGGTCTATCGTATCTCCGTTGCATGGCGTCGACGTGTTTCATAATCACTAGTTTGAACAGGGGCGTAGCTACCGCCGTATCAGCCGTATCAATGATACGGGGCCCCCGGGCTACAGGGGCCCCGAACGTGTGTAATCAAAAATTCGTAAAATGTTATCCACAAACTCATTTAAACTCTAAGGCTGTACTTCCCGAGAAAAAAATCATATCATCAAATAGTTCCCAACGTCCCTAAAGAAGACCTGTCAGAAATTGTCAAATTTTCTGTAATTTTTCGATACATCTCGATAACAGAAAATTATGATAATGTATCTAAAGTAATAATAATCTTTATTGACAAACATATTACAAGCACAAAAAGTACAGTGGTTATTAGCCCCTAAGCTGAAAAATTCTACCCGTATTTTAGGAGCTAAATTTATAGTTGCCTAGACGGGGTGCATAATCGGAATTCATATATATTATTTTTCATAATGATTTCTTATATTTACGCGAACACTACACATTGAAATAATAATAGTTTTTGCGGATTTTTATCGCGTATATTTAACTATAAATATAGCTGATGTGAAGAATCCACGGTCCGGAAAGTCTGCAGTCTGTGAACACGTACAGGATCGCCCCCCTCACTACATCAGATTTGATAGACCACAAATCCTCGCTAAAGAACACGATTCCTTCCAAGGATGATTCGTGAGGCTATTGAAATCAAAAAACATCCTAATTTCAATAGAGAAGATGGCTGGGTGCTACCATCTGCTTGGAATCCTATAATAAATAAAATTAAATCCCAACTCAAGCATACATGCAAACTTCAAGATACCATAAGTTCATACTGTGTAGATCGGAACGAAAGTTAAATTTTAATCTATGGTACCTAACCGCTGTTAACTATGACATCTGGACGTTGAACATCTCAGCCCCCCCCCCCCCCCCCCGTGAACATGGGTTATAGTTAAATATACGCGATAAAATCCGTAAAAACTAGTATTATTTCAATATATTATTTTTCTTTCGATTTTCTCCCTCTTTTGTGTACAGTCATTTATAGAAATATGATAAAAAAACTTTCCCAAGATACTTAGTAAACATTATCAATAAAAATTTATACATATTTTTTATTTGAAAGGTCAACGCCGAAATAAAAGTAGTACTTACCTCACAGAATTACAGATTCATTGAAATCTTGGCATAAAATAATTTAAAATGAAGACAACATTTATTACTAACGATTTTTGGAATACTTGCAAAATACGTATCAGTTCTTCGCTAAAATATCTGTTGTAGCAAAGTAATTTAGAATACAAATGCAAATGTACATTTAAAGAGACGAATTTAGCCAGGATATTAAATTACGTCTGCTCAATAATGATATTAGTATCGGTAATTGCCTGGACAAATTGTAAAATTTATAAATTACGCAATAATATTATTTAAAACGAGATTATAATTAGAATTAATTTTATTTTAATTTTGCAATACGTAATGCATGGACTGTCACGGTGACGGTAACGGCAATACGTAATATGTTTTTTTATTAAATATTTGGTTATTAAAAAGGCTTAATAATTAAAGTGTATGTATTAAACCGTACTTGGGATAAAAAGTCGGAAGAAAAAATAAAAGTGAACTCCGATTATCAACCCCCCTCTGGGATGGGTAGATGAACACGCGTTTGCGAAAATCCACTCTAGGGTGGATTTTTTAGGATTGGTAAACGCAATAACCCAAAAATATACTTTTTTAGCAGAAGTATAAAGTGCTTGTCAATTCTGATTAACGACTAACAATTCATCTAAAAATATAAAATTACCCTTAAAAAGGTGTCCTAGGTCTTCAAGAAACGACGTTTTATCAGCTAAAAGGAAACATTATTTTTTAATGAATTATATTAAAAATAAAAACATTGTAACAACTAAATTTTATTTCCACTAAAAAGTCAAACCTTTTTTCTTCACTATTTGAATCAATCCTGTTTCTAAAGCTCTACAGCATGAAATGATACGTAGAAAGCTAACATTTTACTAAGGGTAATCTTTTAAATAGACTGAGCGAAATAAGAAATAAAAATTCATTCCATAGTTTGCTGAGCGAGTCCAAAGATAAGCAAATGACTGAGGTGTAAAAACTGCTTCCAAAAATAAAAGAAAGGAGATAACGAAGCGTTTTTTTAATATGAAGAATATCAGAAGGTGAAAAACTTCATACCCAGAATCATCAAAGTCAATAATATGTACTATTGCTGTTAAGATATATTAATGTCTCAAACTAAATAGCTCTAGAGCCTCTAAGACCTAGGTTATGTATTCGAAGTATTACACCCGTAAAAACTCTTATCTTTTTCAAACGAAATGTTCGAAGTATTACAACATTTTATACGTTGTAGAGCCATGCTGCAGTTATATTAGTAGTATAGTTGTAGCACGAATGGGTCGGCTCGACCGCGGAAGGACCACGCTCTCATAGAATACCAGCGTGAAATAGTAGCTTAATGCTGCTGTATTTCGTATGGTGAGTGTAGAGAACCGGAGGCCCTTTTTACTGGAAACGAGGCATTCCATCTTAGTCCTCACGGGTAACAACGCATCTGCATTGTGTTTTGTAATTGAGGATACATGTAGATGTCTATGGGTCGCAGCAACCACTTACCATCAGGTGGACTGTGTGCTCGTTTGTCACCCTATCCTATAAAAAAAAACAAGAGAAACTCAGCTGACAGCTGAAAGAAGTTTTTAGAAATAAAACTGATAAAATATTATTTAAGTACCTCCATGGCACAGGAAAGGCTATCGAACTTGACACTATTATCTATCTAGGCAGGCAGTTATGACCGATGACGAGACGTTCGCCATTATAATGGGTCGTGTAAAAATTTCTTCGTATTTTGTTTGTATAAAATTGAAGAAAATCTCTTTCGTTATACTGTTTGTATCTGGCTGGTTTTAATATCAATACATACAGGACATTAAGAAAAAGAGAAGGAAAGAGTAAATAACGCTGCCGCCATTTTTCAATTATTTTTCTGTCTGCCAAAATTAGTGAATCCAACGAATAAATTCGACACATTCTGAAGTTTTATTACAAAAAAGGATGCAGCTCACTCTGGTCACCTTCATACGAATAAAGTTGATGACTCTTTTGAAAAAGTGGAGGAAGTAGTTCTTTACTACATAGCCAAAGAATTGAAGATTGTTTTGAACCATTTGAGAGTTTGGCTATACAAAAAAGTTCGATATTTAGGTGTCTCACTGAAAGAAACCTAAGGAATAGTGGACTCATTTTCGATTTTCTATTGATACGTAATAAAACTGAACCTTTTTGCAAAGCTTAATCACTGGCGATGTGAGTAGATTACCTGCGACAAGATCGTACGGAAAAGATCATGGTTAAAGGGTAGTCAAGTCCACAGACGGTAGCGAAACCCGGATTAATACGCAATAAAGTGATGCTTTGTGTATAGTGGGATAAGAAGGGCATCGTTCATTACGAGCTTTTATAACTGGGCAAAACCATTTATTTGGATTTCTACTACCAACAACTTATAAGACTCATCATGATAACGATAGACTACACAATCTTTAGCTACTCAGCAAACATTGAGAAAGCTTGATTGGGAAGTGTTAATTCATCCACCATATAGTCTTGACCTTGCGCCTTCAGATTTTCATCTGTTTCGGTCACTTCAGAATTCTTTGGGTAGTGTTAAGTTAATATCAAGAGAGGACTGTCAAAACTACTTGTCGCATTTTTTTATTAAAAAAAATCAACATTTCTACAGCAATGGGATTCTGTCATCTACCTTGTTATATTTAAATGTAATGAAACTTTGAAAAAAAAAATTGTAGATATGAAATACGAAGAAGCTTTTTCTGCGACCTATTAAGTTCACCGAACTAGACAAGAAAAGCTTATATTTGATTTGAATTGTTTGGCTAGCTTAGTTCCTAGTAGGACTCGTATTAATAGTAATTATTAACCTATAATCAATATATAATTTTTTCAATTCAATGCGAGCGGTTTTGGGCCTTTCGTTGGGCCCCCCAACAAATTTTGATACAGAGCTCTAAGGCACGCTAGGCCACTGAGTTTGAACACAAAGTTATGCAACTTATCTTATACATCACGTTCCGCACAAAATCTCATATCTTAACTCCAGTAGCAAGCAAACTTAGTTTTGCAGTGTACGCTGCAAAAAAGATTAGAATTCTCACAAGCATTCAAACAGCTAGACTGGTTTAATTTTAGCTATTTCCATATCATAATGTATGGTATTTTTTTGGCATTTTTATGGGCAAATTACATTTGTTATAAGATATAATTATAAGAAGGTCAAAAAAGCAATCTACGATTTAAATCCTAGAGTCTCTGAGACAAAAATTTAGGGAAATGTTCTCTCAATACATTTACGAAAAAGTAATCTTTGTACCTAAACAAAAATTTAAGTAGTTTTAAAAAAATAAGTTATTTTCATTATGTAAGTACTCGGAACAGACATACACTAGTAGTAGAAGTTACTCGACTCTACAGAGTCAGTAATTTATTCTTGGGTCAACGTATACGCTTTTACAACAAAATCCCAGAAAATATATACAACATTTGTGCACTGCCAAAAATTATTAAACAAAGATTGTATAAAACGGGTTATTATAATATTAGAGAATTTATGGATGATGATAATCCCTGGGAATGAGGTCGTCGCTACCTAGGAATTTCTAATATGATTTCTATATTAGGAATACCTATAAATTATAGGTCCATAAGCACACTTTCCTGCATGGCTTAGCTTTTCGAAACATTAATATATTCTCACAGTCATGTTACGCAGAAAATGTCATGAAATCTGCTCATTTTATAGAAATCACGTCAGCTCTGCTATCGCTGATCGTCGTCAGGTGGACTCAATTTATATAGATTTCTCCAAGGCATTTGATAAGGTCGATCACGAGTTTCTGTGTGCAAAATAAGAGGCCTATGGTATTCATGGCAATTTACTTCGTTGAGTCAGATCTACTTATCCAGGAGGAGCCAGATTATTGCGGTTAAAGGTTATAACTCTACTCCAGCATCGGTCACGTCTATTGTTCCCCAAGGGTCCCACTTAGAGCCGTTGTTTTTCATTATTTTTATAAATGATTTAGTTGACGTAATCCAGAGTCACTGCCTACTTTATCCTGACGATATGAATATATACCGTTCAAATATAGTTCACGATTGGTGTTCGGCTAATTTTATGTCCTTAAATATCAGTAAATGCTTAGTTATTATTATCACCCTCACTACTAAACACAATCACTTGGGTTTTAAATATAATATCAATAGCCAGCCTCTGATACACAAGGAGATTGTTAAGGATTGGGGCGTATATTTCGATTCAAAATTTTCGTTCCGTCTGCATTATGAGTATATAATGCAAAAAAGTTTCAGAACCTTACTGTTTATAATTTGTGTAACGAAAAATTTCTCCGAACCTCGCGCATCATATCGATTATTTTATAATTTGCTTCGTTCTGTACTAGAGTATGCATCCACCACATAGGCACACTTTTATGGGGCACATTCTAATAGAATCGAGAGGGTGTAGAGTTGTTTCCTTCGCAGTGTTTATGGCAGGTATGATCTCCCATTATACGACCCTCGACTAAAGTTTTTTAATGATCAATGATTATCTTTGAGGAGACAATTTTCCGACCAAGTCTTTGCACAAGATTGTGCTTTCTCATATAAATTCTCCAGATTTACTAAGACTAATTAACTTCAATTGCGGTATATGAAACCTTGTTCAAAGAAATTTTAGGCTTGACATACATAAGAATAACCTTTCCTTTATCAACCCTGTTTCCACCATATGCCGTGAAAACGGTCTTAAAAAGTTTAGATGATACAACGTTTGGAGGAAAATTTGTAGCGTCCATATAACATAGAACATTATGCTGATACTCTGACTTGACTTGATTTTTTTAAAGGATAGGGTGACAAACGAGCACACAGTCCACCTGATAGTAAGTAGTTGCTGCGGCCCATAGACATCTACATCAATCCTCGATTACAAAACAAAATACAGATGCGATGTCACCCGTGAGGACCCGTGAGGAGGACGTGAGGAGATGGAATGCCTCGTTTCTAATAAAAAGGGTATCTGGTTCTCTACACTTACCATACGATCGTGAAAAACGAGATCGAGAAAACAGCAGCATTAAGCTACTATTTTACGCTATTATTCTGTGAGAGCGTGGTCCTTCCCCGGTCGAGTCGACCCATTCGTGCTACAACTATACAGTTACTATACAGCGAGATTTAGTTCTGCAATATAACTGCAGCATGGCTCTACCACGTATAAAAATGATTGATATATTTTCTACGTAATAAATTAAATTTCGTTTGTCAAATGTCATTTTTAAGCATTTTTTATAGGAGAGGAGGTAAACGAGCGTACGGCTCACCTGATGGTGACTACCGCGGCCCATGAACAACTGCAACACCAGGGGAATTGCGGGTGGGTTGCCGGGCTTTCCGAAAGGAGTAAGTTCTTTACTTGAATGTCCCTAAGTCGTATCGGTCTGGAAAAATCGCCGGTAGTGGAATGAGGAAGAAAACTCCTGGTAAAACGTACAGTGATGGACCGCCAATCATCCAGATGGTGTGGATGGTATCGGGAGTTTTGCTGCGACGTGCTTTCGTGAAATTTGGCGGCTGGGATTAATCTAAACAATTCCTCTGAACACTCCCCGTTTTAGATGCGAAAAAAAAATGCAAAGGGATGCAACATCTCTTCGCAACGCCAATGAATCGAACCGATCGAAGAGAACTCGGTCGTCCACGATTCAAGCCACTCTGCGCTGGATGCAGTTAAGTGGAAGGAACTGGCACTGGGGAGCCCCAGCCCAGAGATGGGAATAGTATTCCATGTGCGGCCGGACCTTCGTCTTGTAAAGCTGCAGGTGGTGTGCTGACATGAAATATTGTCTCGCCCTGCTGAGCACGCCAGTCTTTTTAGAGGCCAATTTCGCCTTCTCTTTCAAGTGACCACGGAACTGCACATCATTGATATGTGGATGCCAAAGATTCCGATACTGGCTGAGTCAACAAAAGGGTGCCTTCAAACTGAGGATATATGACAAAGGGGCTATTTTTAACGGTAAACGCACAAACTTGTGTCTTCTGGGATTAAACTGGACTAAATTTAGTTGCATTAAATCCGAGAGACTATGATCAGCAAAGACTCTACTTCAGACAAAAATTTGTTCCGGTACTAAATTTACTACTCTCTTAACATGATACAGCTAGTGATACAACAGTTATAACACGACTGGTCAAGATACATCAAGATGATCGAATGTGGACCCGCCTTTATCCAGAAAGCCTGATTAAGGAAATCTGATTAATCGTTGGGCTGCGACAAATACACCGAATACAAAAATAAACTATCGATTCTTACTTTTGCTCGATATTGCCTTGGCAGTTTTCAATATTTCATCTGTGTTAATAGAATCTATTACAGAAAACGAATTGTGTACACTATCTATCTGTATGTTGTTTGCTTCTTGTAGTGCCAAGCTTTCAGACACTTTAACACAATCCTCTTCGTGGCAAGCGAGATTTAGTTCTGCAATACAATAAACATAATGCATATTTATATAAATAATAAATTAAAATTATATTAGTTACGCCACATATATTTTATATAGGTATTTAGAAAGTACCTATTAATACATTATGTGCAGCCATTTTAACACAGGATGACGAACGAGCATACAGTTACAGTCCCTCTGATATTTAGGTTAGTTACGATGTTGTGAGGTGGCCCATAGACACCTCAATTAAACCGGGGATGGTAAGGAGAGCCGTCTTTGCGTATTAAAAATTATCCGTAGGATAGTGTTAAATAAGGGTGGCGCCACTGTAGCGAGAAGGTAAATTTAAAAAAATATTTTATAACTTTTTATTGCACTAATTTTCACCATAATTCTTTTTCATAGTAATTATTTTATTGTATTTTCACGGTGACTTTTTCTAGGTTATGTTTACCTACTAAATTATTCGTAAAAGTATATTTAAAGTTTTAAATACTGCAGTTCTAACAACTACTCTACTCACCATAAATATTAATTTCCTCAACGCAGCACACTTCACTCCGTTGACAACTGCTATAAGTTCATTTCATACCCTCTAGCTACTCTAGCGCTGTTGTGGAGAGGTTTTGAACAGTTATTTACTGCTTACAGATGGACACTTTTTCAACTATTCTCCTTGTAAGACGATTCTCCTTACCTCTACACTCCATGATCAAAATGAAGATCTATTGTCACCCCTGAGGACTGAAATAGAATGCCTCATTCGCAATAAATGCTCTACGCAACATACGAAACAGAATTACTCTGCTGTTTAACGATTGTATTTGGAGAGTTCGTATTCCCGGTCAGAATGAGGGCTAGCCGACGCGATTTATTTGCTCGGGAAACGGGAATGAATACTTCTTGAAATAGTATATGCTTGGAAAAAAAAATATGCACATACATAAAATACTTAATCAAATCGATTTTTAAAATACTTTTATTAATCTAGATAAAAAATAATAATTTAATAATATTAAAATAATTAATTTATTTATTTATACTTTATTGTACACCTTAATAAAAAGATTACAAAAGGCGGACTTAATCCCTTTTGGCATTCTCTCCCTGTCAACCCGGGACTTGTAGAAATAATGTGATTCGTGCCATATACAGGATTATTTTACAACAACCGTCAAAATTTGCAGAGAAGGTTCAAAATAAGTAATATAGCCAAATGTTAATGAAACATTAATTTTAAAAATCTCATACATTCTGTCCTTTTTATCTTTTAAATTCAAAATGCGTATTAATGTATTATTTTTACTACGAATGCGAAATGCGAAACAAATTCGTAAAGGTCGATAAGTAGGCAAAAACCTTGTTGTCAATTAATCAAATTAAATTTGGAATTATTTCAAATAAAAGTAAAAGTCTTATATTCTCGTATTTTCAAAAACTGCAATAACAATATGATATTGTTTATATATTTGAACTTAAGTTTAAAAATTGGTTTAAAAACTCTGAAAAATCATCCTGTATAAAAAGGACATTATAGTAAATCAGAAAGTAGGATATATTTTATAAAAAGATGCAACTTACTGAGACGCTTTTTACCGACTTCAATCTGCTGAGTGTCCAGTACCTCAACATTTGACAGGAACTTGGCAGCCAAACACGCCACCTGTCCAGCGGAACAGGCGCGTGTTTTTGCTAATATACCTAGAATGTATTAAAATATAATTTATATTAATGAGTTGTACTACTATTATTAATTATTTTATCACTGTGCAAGCTTGGGTCTACCTGTAATTGAGGTATTTACTTGGTCATTAGCCAAGTAAATACACCAATTAAATCCTTTGATGTTTTTTTGTAGAATAAGGGTGATATACGAGCACACAGTCCACCTGATGGAAAGTGCCGTGGCCCATAGACATCCAGACTTAACCTCGATTAAGAATCAAAATGCAGATGAGCTGCCACTTCTGAGGACTAAGATGGAATGCCTCGATTCCAGTAAAACGGGTCTCCGGTTCTCTATACTCACCATACGAAACACAGCAGCATTAAGCCGCTATTTTACGATGGTATTCTGTGAGAGTGTGGTCCTTCCACGGTCCAGTCGACCCATTGGTGCTACTACCATAATATAGCTGCAGCTACTGAAAACGACACATTCCACCTTAGTCCTCACGGGTGACAACGCATCTACATTTTAATTCGTAATCGAGGATAGATGTAGATGTCTTTGTGCCACAGCAACCACTTACCAGGTGGACTGTGTGCTCATTTGTCACACTATCCTATAAAAAACATTTATATAATAAATAATTGTTTAATATGGAGTGAATACTATAATAGCCACGTTTAGCAGGTTTGGCAGACGCAGCTTTATCTTATTTTGATTTGTTATCAGGAAGATTTTGCTGTCAAACTTCTATTTTAGTTTCGCAGCGAGAAAAAATATAAATATGGGGTAGATCTATGTTCAGCCGTGAACAGCTGTAATGACGACGATGGTGATGACGACGACGATTATTTATTTTGTTTGATTATATCTTTTCTTCGGTTTCATTCTATTTTTAATATGCTACGATGACGAATAAGCAAACGAATATTTTAGAAAGAACTAAAGAATCAAATGAGATTTTACACGCACACATAAATTACACAAATCCAGATCCGGAACAATTATTTGTAGGTCATAAATAATTGCTCCGTGCGGAATTTAAACCTGTGGCCGTCAGCGCTGGTACTTATTGCTAAACCTCTGCGCCACGTAGGCACGAAGCCGTAGTTATTATTTATTTTTTGTCAGTATCCCTCGCGGACATGCACATTACAAAGTCACCTAATTTCGTCGTACTTAATCGAATGAACGCTATAGGAACGCATTGAAGACGAACAAACAAAATCTATTTATTTTATTATATTAGCCGACTTCACATAAAGGATGAGGTTCTATGTTCGACTGTATGTATATTTTGTGTATGTTCACCAATTTTTCCGTTAACTTTGGACCGATTTTGATGATATTTTTTTTTCTTAAATAGGTTATTCTTCAGTCCCATATAAATTTAGAGAAAACATTCAATTTCTAAGGGTGGCAAATATAGGACGAAGTTTTAAATGTAACTATTTAGACTTAACTTTTATTGAGTTTGTGATATTTTATCATATTTTGCACAAAAAGTAACAATAAAAATAACTGTTAACAAAAAGTTAAAGTCGAATTCCAGGTGTAAGATAAAAATGAAACACATGTCGCCATTACAGGTAATGATCTCTCACGCCCTACTTATATAATTACAATAATCTATCTCTCTTGCACACCATTTACACTACTTTATTTTTATCTCACTCTTTCGTACACATATTATTACCTACCATACTTCCGTCACATTTCACAGTTTTAAGTCTTATTCTATATTCTATTATCTATTATCCTTACACAGGAACTAAAAAGAAGAAAATAATTTAAATTTCTGAAGTCTGGGCCTTATTTATGCTCTGTACTATATCTTAGCACTTAATTTTGCCTAAGACGAATATATCAGTTGAAAATTTCGACAGAAAGTTTTTGTACTAAGTACGCCATCTATAGTTATAAATAAGCATTAAAATGTAAGGGAAATAAAGTTTTTTTTTGCGCCCGAAGCAAATATGGGCAACCAAACAGAATATCTCATTTACCCCAACCCACTTAGACCAAGGGCAACTCCTACTAGGCAGATTAAGGGATGATAAATAAAGTAGGTTTTACATTTTAGAGCCAAGCTGCAGCTATATTACGGTTGTGGCACGAATGAGTCAGCTCGACCGGGGTAGGACCACGCTCTCACAGTATACTAATATAAAATAGCAGCCTAATGCTGCTGTGCTGGTATGTGTGTATGGTGAGTGAATAGAACCGGAGACTATTTTTACTAGAAGGAGGCATTCTATCTTAGTCCTCAGGGGTGACAACGTATCTGCATTTTGAGTCTTAATCGTGGATAAATGTAGATGTTTATGAGCCACAGCATCCACTTACCATCAGTTGGACTATGTGCACGTTTGTCACCCTTATACTATAAAAAAGTTACTGGCTGTAAAGCATCTTAGTCCTCAGAGGTGACAACGCATCTGTAGACTTTATTGTTTGAAGTTTGCCGCAGGAGTCCAAGGACTGCAGTAGCCTCTTACCATCAGATAGGTTTTAGTTAATTTGCCCCTTCATTTATGTAAAAAAAATTACTTCTAACCAAATATCCCACTCTCCATGTATGAAATATTAAAAGCTCTGAACTCTGTGTAGATATCTTTAGTCAGAAGACCAAGCGGAGTCTGTGCGATGCGGTCGAGATGGTGCTGGCCGACCTGCGCGTGGTCAATCCCACACGTTGCAGCCAATATGGAATGTATGAACAGAGAACTGGAAGTTAATAACAGTCATTTTAATGTATTTTTATAGAATATTTGAAGCTCATACTATTAAGGCATGTCATGATGGGTGCAGAGGACTAGAGACCCTTATTACGGGAATTTAGGCATTCCATTTTAGTCCTCATTCGTAACAACACATCTGCATTTTGATTTTTAATCTTAAACATAGATATAAATGTCTGTGTGCCACTGCATTCACTTACCATCAGGTGGACTGTGTGCTCGTTTGCTAACCATATTCTACAAAAAAGGCACTTCAATTTTAGTTATGTGTATAAAGATGTTACTAATCTGATCCTTACAAATAATTTTATTTCAAAAGGTATGGACATTGGTCTCCAATTTAACTGTATTTATACTGAAATAACTATAATTATACTGAAATAACTATAATACTGAAATAACTAAATGCATGGATCTAAAAGATTATCAAATCCTTTTAAGCCAATTGGCAATGTCAGGTATACATGAAGAACTTCTGCGATGGTCCTCCTCCTATATTGAAAATAGATCACAAGCAGTAGTACGTGGTGTCTTTATATCCACTTGTCTACCGGTTCCCTCAGGAGTACCTCAAGGCTCTCTGTTAGGTTCCCTACTTTTTATTATCTTTGTGAATGATAAGGAGAAGTGTTTCTTATAATCCAAAGTACTCTTATATGCTGATTATACGAAAATAATAAAATCTCTAGTACAGAGAATACTATGTTATTGCAATCAGACTTGGAAAGGTTTGAAACATACTGATATATAAACAAATTAGATTTAAATGTATCTAAATGCTTTTTGTGTCGTTCACAAGGAAAAGTGATATAATCAATGGCGGCTATTATTTAAAGGGTACGTCTATTGTCAGAGTATATGAGGCCTATGATTTTGGAGTAATTCAAGACTCTAAACTTATCTATGATAAGCATATATCTAGTATTATAACCAGGGCATATAAAGCCATGGTATTTGTCATCCGCTGGTAAGTTCTATTCTGTTCATATGGATGACCCATTTTTCAACATACATCACAGGTCTGGAACCCGCAGTATGAGATTTATAAGCCTCGTATTGAGGGTGTCCAGAAAAGGTTTTTAAAGTATCTTGATTATGGAGTGCATATGGTTCCTCGGGACTATGAAGAGAGGTGCAAACGATATCATTTTCTTCTTTTATCTGTTCGACGTAATATTAATGACATATTATGTTTCTCTCTAATTTGTAATGGTTTAATTTACTCCCCACTTAACTTTGATATTGATCCATTTAATACTTTTCCGAGTGTGGCCAAGAGTACCTTAACCAGTAAATATTTTTAAAATGCCTCTTAAGGTGGTTTGGGCGCCAAAAACAGTTTTTTCACGCTTAATAGGTGCGTAGTAAAGTAATTTTTTATCATTTAAAACTACAAATCCACATGTTTATTAAATCATTATGAAAGTTAAAGATTTTTTCTAGTGAATTAAGATGGCCAAAACACAATTGACACATTTTGGCTTGATAGAAAAGATCGCAAAGTTTTTTAGGTACGTCCACTAAGTGAACGCTGTTTCATTCGAATGTAATGAAATCAATTTCAATTAAATCCAGGCTATGTGTTCACCAGGAAATCCGTGAGTAAATTATGGGTTTATTTTTCAATAAAAGAGTATCTGGGGGCACGGCAGTGCCCCCGCCAAGTCGAGCAAAAAAGCGACACGGCCGTACCATCCTTTTTCCGAAGCAATTCAGGCCATTTTCGACCCCCTATAACTTCGTAGTGGATAAAACTAGAAGCCTGAATTTCAGTTACCGAGTAGGCATTGTACAAACATAGTATATTTCAAATTTCATTCAATTAGAACCAGTAGTTTAAGAATTATAACTAGTCAAAGTTTCTTAATTATGTCCATATATTTCTTAGTCAATCTATGTATATATTTAAAACATAAAACACTTTTAACATTGATATGGTCACTATGAAATATTGTTAAGTTAGCTAATTACGTAATAACTTAAAACAGAAGGACCCTTATGTAGGGACTGAATAAATTAACCGACTTAGTACGAGGGTGGATTGAAAAGTACTCGGCCTAACACAGATCCATTCAATTCTAAAAATCAAATCTACCCACATTATTTAGTTCAGTTCAGAGTAGTTCATTGTGTGAAGTTCGAAACGTGTGCGATAATTAGTTGTGATTTTATAAATTTATTAACAAAATAATCGGACATAATTTCCGCGAATGGAGCAAATGAAGCAGCGTGCCGTCATTAAGTACCTCCATAAGAAGGGGCTATCATCAAAAGCCATCCATTATGACAAGGTCAGTACATTAGGCGATTGTGCTCTGTCATATTCATCCGTCAAAAAATGGATAGCAGAATTTAAGCGTGGTAGAGAGAGTGTGAAAGATGAACCCCGCTCTGGAAGGCCTTCGACGTCAACTACTGACGAAAATATTAAAAAAAGTACTTGATTTAATAATGGGAGACCGCAGATTAAAAATTAGAGAGATAGCCGAGATTATAGGCATCTCTTATGAACGAACTCAAAACATCATTGTCAACGAGTTGGGTTTCCACAAGGCGTCTGCGAGGTGGGTTCCGCGACTGCTTTCAGTTGAACAAAAAAGGACGCGATTGACTATTTCACGCGACTGTTTGGAGTTATTTGAAGCCAATGCAGATGATTTTTTGAATCGTTTTGTTACTATGGACGAAACATGGGTTCATTACTGTACACCGGAAACAAAACAACAATCAAAACAGTGGAGAAGACCTGGTTCACCACCCCCTAAAAAGGCTAAGTCGATTTTGTCGGCAAATAAGGTGATGGCTTCAGTATTCTGGGACTCGAAAGGTGTGATTATGATTGATTATCTTGAAAGGGGTCAGACTATAAACTCTGATTACTACTGCACCTTACTACGTCATTTACGAGAGGAAATAAAAGAAAAACGTCGAGGAATGCTCAGAAGAAAAGTCCTGTTTCATCAAGATAACGCCCGTGTTCACACGTCAGTACAGTCAATGGCTGAAATTCACAACTGTGGCTTTGAACTGTTACCGCATCCGCCGTATTCACCTGATCTGGCACCATCAGACTTCTTTCTGTTCCCTAACCTAAAAAAGCACTTGGGAGCTCAAAGATTTTCGACAAACGACGAGGTCAAAGCAGCTGTAGACGCATATTTTGACTCTAAGGAAGAATCATTTTTTTTCAACGGTCTAAATGCTTGGAAGGGGAGGTGGCAAAAAATAAAAATATAACTGATTTAGTATGTGTTTATTTTCTTGGTTAGGCCGAGTACTTTTCAATCCACCTTCGTATTACATGGATCTCACAACTTTTTACGGTAGGAGAACTGAGTTGCGAGACTTGGTTTTTTTTAAAGTTATGTTTTTGATGGTATATGTATTTTAAAAAAGAATATCAAATAAATATTGTGCGATTAAATAGCGCGCGGGCCGACCAAACAGCCGCCAACGCACCTATAAAGCATGATAAATCTGCTTTTGGCGCCCACTCCTTAATTATTAATAATACGTAGAGTTTTTAACTTTAAGATATTGTTTATATCATTTATTTATAATTCTATTAGGGGAAACTTGTAAATGACTTAATAGTACATTGTTATTGGCTTTTTTATTTCTAAATATGCAATTGCTGTAAGTTTTCCGAATAAAATAAAATAAAAAATAAAATAAAATTATAAATAACGGGGCATTTTGTTACCGGATATCACTCGCCCCGCAGCCCGGTACCGCCACAGCAATCCAGACGTCACTGTCACGCCCTAGGTCATAATATTCAAAGCCGGCGCGTGGAAATGAAGCAACGATTTCACGAGCGCAAGATTTATCCTGATGAATATAAAACAATATGACGAATATTTTTTAAAATACTTTATATTAATTATTTATTAATGTCTACCAGGTGGTGGAAACGTATTTTATAGAACTGTGATAAACGATTTCAAAGTCCACCTGATGGTACGTGGCTACCGCAGCCCATGGATAACTGCAGCCAAAGAAGGCTACAGACACGTGGCCACCTTCGAGGACTAAGACGGAATGCCTAACAGGCTGTGATCGTATTGACTCTATACCCGTCAGACCGGCAACAGCAGTACACGCTTTTTTATACGTGGTAGAGCCACGCTGCAGCTATATTATGGTTGTAGCACGAATGGGTCGGCTCGACCGATGAAGTACCACGCTCTCACAGAAAACCAGCGTATTGCTGTGTTTCGTATGGTGAGTGTAGAGATCCGGAGACCCTTTTTGGAAACGAAGCTTTCCATCTTAGTCCTCAGGGAAGACAATGCATCTACGTTTTGATTCTTAATCGAAGGTAAATGTAGATGTCTATGAGCCACAGCATCCACTTACCATCAGGTGGACTGTGTGCACGTTTGTCACCCTTATTCTATAAAAAAAAGAACACACACTGCTATTTGCCGACAGAAATAGGTAAGAGGATGGTGGTTGTAAGTAAGAACCAAGACGGATTCCTGGGTAGAAAAGAGAGTCCTACCACCTCATGTATAGCAGTGTATTAAAAGGTCGCTACTCCTAGCGAACGACCGGCGTTCGGTCCTGCACATTCCACGCGCTCTCGCTATATTATATTATATCGCGTAAGAAATACGCCCAAATTTTAAAATTTATTCTTTATAAAATCGAATTTTTTCAAAGGTAGTAATAGTGTTAATCGATAATAGTGTTAATTGCAAAATATAATAATGCCTACTTTATGAGGATATGCATATTATCAATAATTATTTCGCATTTCTGTGGTTTAGTTGTAGGGAGATTCATCAAGTATATACTACTTTTTAAAAAAAAATGGAATTGGCCATTATGGAACCAAGATTATGTAGAAATTTAATAGATTTTTTATTAGTTCGCGTCTAAAAACCCCACAAATAACGACTAGCGCGGCATTTTGCTCAAACTCTATCAAACGCACGTAACGCAACGAGATTTTTCTTGCGTTTTCCCTAGCCGACTTCAAGAAAGCAGGAGGCTTACAATGTTTTTTTTAATTATATAATTAATGTGCGATATTTTTGCCAATTAAAAGCCGATTGTGATGATTTTCTTTTATTACTTGACATTGACAGATTATGGTACCAAATTAATGAGTATGTCTTTGTCTATGTCTGTATTATACATTTTAGTATATCTTTGTTATAATTTATAATGACAAACCGTTTTTTGTCGGGTTATCCCTCATAAATTAAGGCACACATCTGATCCTCTCCCGAGCGAGCGTTGGGGCGTCATGTCGGGCACACATGTGTCCCCTTGACTACGTTCCAGGTTAAATAAGTTATTCTTCAGTGGCGGACCCGTAGATATAAATTTGGAGAAGAAATTCAAAGAGCGGCAAAATAAAAGACGAAACTTTTAATGTAATTAGGCGACATTGAGATTATAATAGATTATAATTATTTTAGTAAAGGAAAAAATTTTTACAAAAAGCAAGAGCTACCTTAAAATAACTACCCGCTATTGTGTTTTCTATCTTAGTTCAGGGGTGACAACGCATCTGCATTTTGATTCTTAATCCAGAATAGATGTAGATGTCTACGGGCCACAGTATCCACTTACCACCAGATGGACAGCGTGTTCGTTTCTCACCTTTATTCTATTTTTAAAAAAAACTGAGAATAAAAAACAAATTCACATTCTTCAGTGGCTTTTATTATCTATATACTTTATGTTAGCACCAGTAGACGGTAGATTAATATGCGCCTAAAGTTGGTTTTACCGTGTAGTGACATTGTTAAAATATCCACTATCCCATATCACCCAGGGGGTGTCGTAAGAGGCGACAGTAGGTAACAAATCAGATGAGGACCTACGTCTTCCTAATAAGGACTGAAAAAAAAAACTGCGGTTGCCAATCCGCTTGCCATACGTGGCAACTAGTGGGAAAACTGTGGGAAAAGCCTGTGCTAACGAGTAAAATTTAATAGGCTGTAACCGCTAATGTTAGATACTCATGACAATTGTAGGAATATGCATTGATAAAGACATTTTTCACATTCACATTCTACTAACTTGGCTAAATTCGATCTTCTCCGCCAATTTCAAAGTCTCTTCATAGGGCAATCCCACGCTCGTAACAGAACAGCTATCGCTTCTAAAGTTCTTCACAAAATCCTTTAAGTAGATCCCCAGCATGCCATCAACCCTGGACTCTTCACAAAACACCGAGTTGCCAAGTGGACCAGCCCAGAAAGCTCTCTGGAGGAGGTCCATAACACGCTGTTCAGGATTGATCCTCAAGAGATTGTCTTTTATAAAAGGTTTAATGTCGGTGACTTCCCATTCGTAGAAGCAGCATCTGTAGAAGGTAATATAACTAACAATAAATTTTATTAATCACTAAGCTCATCTCAGCCTGTGAAGAGGTGAGGAGGTGTAAAATTTGTACACAAACTAAAAAAATAAAAATTATTTTTTAAAGCATCTTATATCCTATTCCACGATATTATCGACTCCTTTGCTCAATTTCGAATACGCGTATAGTCGTTTAAGTTTTCACCTATTTGTTGTTTTTTCTTTGTTCTGCAGCTCACTTTATGAATTATTATAATGCTAAAGGTGACAAGAGTGCTAATTCTCATCGCGCCCAACGCAAGGCAAATTGTTGTACATTTAAAGAGGAATTGTTGGTGCGTCCTTGATAATATAATGCAAGAAGTATGATAATATAGTTTGTAATTTTTACTGTAAATCTTGAGTAAGTGTTATACCTACTAAACAAATTGAAATTAAAAATTAAAAATACAATTTCGGTCTTTAGGCCCCGGCGAGATTCGAACTCGCGATCTCCTGTTTACTAGACAGGCGCTTTAACCAACTAAGCCACGGCGCCGCGTTCAACAAGTCTAAATTTTATAATTGTTTTCATTATTCACTATATTTTAAAATATTATATTTTTACACACAACATTAAAATGATTAATATTTTATTACAATAACGAAAAGAAGTTATGCTCCAAATTTAAATTATCACACTGTCCTCGGGTCAGGGTAAATGTGTTCTGTGTATATGTAACGCCAAGAAAGGTAAATGAGTTAGAACGGTTGAGTAATGAAACATGTTGACTTTAGACAAAGAAAACTAAGATGTTTTTAAAAGAAAAAAATTTTTCTTTCGTCGAAAAATATTCATTACATTTCAATAGCTATTTTTATCATTTAAGCGACAAAATAATCATTTTACCTACTAATTAATTAACATGGCCATGGATATGGATTAAAAGTTACAGCCTTTATACGTCCCGCTGCTGGGCACAGGCCTCCCCTGATTTCTGAGAGGGTTTTAGGGCAAGGAAGTGCTCGCCGCGCTGCCCCAATGCGTGTTGGCGAACTTCACATGTCTTCGAACTATTTTTTTTCTCATTTCTCAAACATGCAGGTTTCCTCACGATGTTTCCCTTCACCGCCGAGCACGTGGTGAATCAGCACTTAAAATTGCATTTAACAATTTCATTAGTGCTGGCGAGAATCGAACTCGCTTTGTTCGCATACTGTGAAATTTACAGCGAGAGCCAACCATCTGAGCTACCAATTAATATCTACTACCAATTATTATGGATTAATAAGTATTGGACTAATATAATAATTATGAATATACATATTATGTATAATATTCAGTACAGTACGGTGGTAGCGTAAATGAAGTCACCACACCATCTAATATCGTAGATATCCTAAGGGGCAACTAAGTAAAATACTTGGAAGGTCATGATTAAACATGGGTAACTCTACCGCGTAACTCAGGCGTATTGCGTCATGGCGCAAAATGCGTCGAGTGAGCAGCGCTGCAGCGTTCAATGAGCCACCATCTGCACGCCATTATTTACTCAGTGAGTTAGTGAGACAAGCGAGTGAATGAGATCGTTGTTTTTTGTTTCCTTCACTGTTGAGTCCTCTGTATTGTGCGGGAAATTCAATTTCAACTATTGACCTAAACACCTTTTGAATTTCCCGGTTCCTGCACTGTGAGTTGGCGCAATTGCGCGGCGCAGCTCAGTGTTACATGTCATGACGTGATCTCCGTGTCTAGTCTCCGTCTCTCTGGCTGCTGTGCCCGAAATTCGGTCTCGAAGGACATTATTGTTATGTACTTATATTTACATGGTTATATAATTAGGTATTGTCGAGGTCACTAACCCACCATGTCAAGCCCTGCAAATCCTTATTATGGATAAAGAGTATATATTATTATTACGTACTATAGGAGTATCGTGTAGTGGCGATGTAAGAATATCTACTAGGTACCCCATATCGTCCCGAGGGTGTCGTAAGAGGCGACAGAGGGAAAATTAAAACAGGTGATGGAGGGAAACCCAAAAAGGTGATGGACAGCAGCATCTTTCCGATAACAATTCAGAATAATAAAAAGTATTGCGGTTGCCAACAAGGCTGCCCAGCGTGGCAACTATGGCAGAATCTACAATAATATGAGAGATAAGAGAGAAGTTTACGATCAGCAGTGGACTTTTTCATTGAAAAACCTTGGGAAAGGTCACCAATTGTTCCGGGTCTGGTTGTTTGTCCTTGTGAAATTTGTGTACGTAAACCGCCTCAACGATACAGGAGAAAATGCGAGTACGTCGGTAACATCTAATAAAAAAGCGAAAAAAGAGTATATACCTGACTGCTGTGTCCAGCAGATAGTGTTTTAACTCTGGGAAGTCGTCCAGCGTGCAGCGCAAAGTGAATGCAACGCTCTGACGATCTGAGGTGCAGGTCAGGAAGGCGCCGCGCTGATGCAACAGTCTCATCTTGCCGAAACCACTGTACGCGCATCCCGATGACGCCGACATTGCCCGTATGAAGTGGGTAGCGCCAAGATCATTGTCCTGTTCATAGCGGGAGCCAGCCTGAAAAGGTATCTGGGATATTACACCTTTAGAGGAACGTAAGGTAGAGCCACGCTGCAGTTATATTATACGTCTTAGCACGAATGAATCGGCTCGATCGGGCAAGGATCACACTCTCACAGACCAGCGTAATAGGAGCTTAATTAGACCATTTTTAGTTTATACGAGGCATTTCATTTTAGGGATGAAAATGCGGACGGTATTTTGATTCTTAATCGAGGATAAATCTAGAGCCATAGCACCCACTTACTGTCAGGTGTGCTGCATGCTCGATTTTTTTATTAGGATAAGGGTAACAAACGAGCACACAGTTCACCTGATGGTAAGTGGATGCTGTGGCCCATAGACATCTACATTTAACTTCGATTAAGAATCAAAATGCAGATGCGTTGTGATCCTTGAGGCCTAAGATGGAATGCCTCGATTCCAGTATAGAACCCGAAGACCCTTTTTGCTGGAAACCAGGCATTACAGCTTAGTCCTCACGGGTGATCGAGGATAGATGTAGATGTCAATGGCCCACAGCAACCACTTACGATCAGGTGGACTGTGTGCTCGTTTGTCACCCTATTCTATAAGCAAAAAGATAACTACAGGCTGTCGGGCATGCCATCTTAGTACTCGGACGTGACAACCATCTTCAGCCTTCCTTGCTTAAAGTAAGCTGCAGAAGTCCTTGAACTGCAGTAGCCACTTACCAGCAGGTGGACTGTAAGTTTGTTTGTCACTTCGGTCTTAAAAAAAAACCTCATGATGCACGTCTACTTAGCCTAGAGATTTTGTTTCTGGCCCCATGGATGGATGGATGAAGAGTGATACCAGGCGAACACTCCGAGTTGCTACTGAAAATTTTGTTACAGAAAAACCCATAGGTTTTAGATTTTGACCCCACCCGGGCTTCGAGCCCACAGCGAAGCTATCGCACAAAAATTTACAGTACCTACAGGTAGGCACTTGAGACTGCTGGGAACAGGCCTCCCCTCATTTCTGAGAGGGTTTTAGGGCAAGGAAGTGTCCGCCGAGCGGCACCAATGCGTGTTGGCGAACTTCACGTCTTCGAAATATTTTTTTCTTATTTCTCAGATATGCAGGTTTTCTCACAATGTTTCCTTCACCGCCGAGCACGTGGTAAATCAGCACTAAAATGGCAATTTACAATTTCGTTGGTGCCGGCGGGGATCGAACCCGGTTTTTCTCGCGTACTGTAAAATTTACAGCGAGCGCTTACATCACACCGCACTAGAACAGACATCGCAAACAAAAAAAGTGCGGGCACCTGCGGAGCCACCAGAGTACCTTTTTATGGCACACAGAGTAAGTGAGTTAGGGCCCGTGGGCTCTAACGCGTGTGCCACGGCGAAAAATATAAATAATTATCATTATTAGTGAGTTAAGAATACAAGAATTTAAGATTCTCACCTGAAACATAATAGTGCAGGCGCCTATTTGTGCGCCTTGGTGTTTCACAGCTGCAACTTTGACACCATTGAACATCTCCGTGCGCTGCACCTCCAAGGGGCCGAAAACAGAGCTTGTCAAACATTTACTTGAACTATTGATGTTGGTGGACAAATATCTGACGCTCAGACATCGATTTACCAAATTCATTGGATGCAATTTGTTCATTTTTGCAAACAGTGTCAGTTGTCAGTCCGTTGACATGTAGTACGTACATAGTCAGTAATCTACACTGACTTAGAAGTATATATATATAGGTATTATTATCTCTATGGTAATCTACGTGTAGTACTGTCAAGTTTATTTGTTTTTAATTGCATGGCTTGTTGCAGCGTCTGGCATCCGAATTTTACCACAGATTTAAGCAAAAGAGTGCAAAAATTTGCCAGGATCTATCTTTTCGATTCTGTTTCCCCATTAAGTACTACATATATGGTGGAGCTACTCTGCAGCTATATTATGATTTTAGCACGAATGGGTCCACACTAAAAAAGGTAGGACCACACTTTCACAGAATACCAGAGTAAAATAACAGCCTAAAGGTAGCATTCGGATCCCGGCGGTCGCGACCCTGTCGCTTCCGCACCGCTTTGTAGGGATTTGTATGGCACACTTTCCGAAGCACGCGACAGTGCGGCGCGGCCGGGGGCGTGGTGGGCGCACGACGCCGGCAGCTGATAGCTTTGGTTTGGTTTGGTTGATAGCTGCCTTCCTCATATCTTGATGTATATAATAAATTTATTTTATTTCTATTTGATGAGAGTAAGAACAACATTATTTCATCATCCTCTCCTTCGTCCTCTATAAGTCGCTTTAGGAGTTCTTGTTTCGTTTTATTTGAGCTATCAGACATAGTTCTGATACGCAAAATACGACCGAACTCACAACCGCACGACTGTTCACACTGACTCTTTCTCTTTCTTGACTACTGCACGTGGCAGTCGCGGCTCGCGTTGCGGTCGCTGCTATTCGAAAGGACGTGGCAGCGCCGCACAGCTGCGGCAGTGGGTCGCGGCAGCTTGTCGCAGCTGCAGAGCCGCGGCCGCTGTGATCATAATGCTACCCTAATGCTGCTGTATTTCACAAGGCATTCAATCTTACTCTTTAAGGGTGACAATGCATCTGCATTTTGATTCTTGATCAAGGATAGATGTTTTTATTTTATAGAATAAGGGTGACAAACGAGAACACAGTCCACCTAACGGTAAGTAGAATCTGTGGCCCATAGACATCTACGTACTTTTATACTCGATTAAGAATCAAAATGCAGATGCATTGTCCCCCTGAGGACTGAGATGGAATGCCTCGTCTACAATAAAATGGGTCTCCGGTACTCTACACTCACCATACAGAACACAGCAGCATTAAGCTACTATTTTACGCTGGTATTCTGTGAGAGCGTGGTCCTTCCCCGGTCGAGCCGACCCATTCGTGCTACAACCATATTATAGCTGCAGCATAGCTCTACCACGATGTCTATGGGCCACAGCACATCAATCACGTGGGCTGTGTGCTAACTTATCACCTTATTATATAAAAAAATTGTTGCCACTCTTGACAGGCGGGTTGTCAACTGCAGTTTTTTTTTATTAGGAAGACGCTGCCGTCCATCTCATAGCCTGTTTCCTTCTGTCACCTCTTGTGACATCCAGGGGTCAATGCAGGGCAGTGAATATTCTTTCGACGCCACAACACGGATACATTTAACAGAACATACACGTACAAAATCTTTCATATAATATACATCATTCTTTCATTTTCTTTCATTTATCATATTTCATATACATTATTTCATTTAATATACATTATTTTGTGTACGTCAATTAACTATTGACGTACACAACATATATAAAGCGTTTCGTTCTTTATTTCCTTACCACTTCCACTTGTAATGGCCTGATTTGCTTTAAAGCTAAGGAAGTCCCGTCTCTTAAAACATAAAGGATTATATTATACTTTTTGGCTATAATTTTCACCGTAGACAGAGAAACCTATAGACAAATTGACGCCTTCTTTCGAATTCGCACACGAAAAAGATAGATTTATGCATACGTCTTGCATAGAAATGAGACAGAGCGGTGTGATTGTTTGTCCCTTTCTCTGTGCCGGTTTTTTTGTTTAGCAAACTGCACTTTGCTAAACAACTTTGACAGTTCGTAGTGATCTTAGGAGTTTACAAGTTGGTTTAAGAGAGAAAAAAGTGTTTTGTGAGCTTAAGATTGGTGAATCTTGTTCAGTTCAGTTCTTAGAACAATTAAATATTTTATCCAAATATGTTTAAAAGTCATAAAGATTATTGTATAACCCAAAACTACGTTATCGTTCTTTCTCACTCAAGGCTACGCTAATCATTAGTCTATAGGTTTCTCTGTCTACGATTTTACCGTGTAACGACGGTGTAAGAATATCGTGGACTAGTTTATAGTGATCCGCGATATCCACAATCCGCAACCTTTTATCGACCCTGGATGTTGTAAGACGTTTATTTCACAAACACAATAAAAATAATAAAATGAAAGCAAAATAAAAAGAGCGCCTTCGGGTGAACGTTATAAATTATATGTTCACTTAGATAGTGTCGGTACCTACCCCTGAAGGCGCACTTTTATTATCATATAAATAAATAGGTACATGCCTACTTAGAGAATATGCCATATTAACGTTATTAATATTCTCGCTGATGTCTCCAAATAATCTTTAACGCTTGTGTTAGAATCAAAGATTTAAAATCTTAGATTAGAAGTAGTTCACTGCAATTAATTACAGCTGTAAACGAGTATTGTTTTATTTATTAATGTAAATAATTAGGTTTTACAGAGAAACTTTTACAATTATACGAGTTCCGTTGTTCAAACTTTCCTTCATAAATCGTAAACTCATATTCGCTTATACAAACACAGGATATATTTACAAACGCCGCGGAAATATCAAGTTTAATTAATATCTTCTTGAATTATAAAGCTCGGTAAAACATCGCTGAAGAGTTACACAGTGATTGAGGGTGAAGACTTTCGTCAAAATCGACGTTCATAGCAATATTATGAATACAACAATAACAATCCTTTAGGACATTTCCGACAAAGATTTTATTTGGACGACCGCGAAATCTACGTGTTTCGAAAACTACGTGTTACGTGTACACCTTAGGCTCAGCACGTAGAGCCTCGCTGCAGCTCACTCTCTCACAGAATACCAGCGTAAAATAGCAGCTTAATACTGCTATGTTTCGTATGGTGAGTGTAGAAAACCGGAGACCATTGTTACTAGAAATGAGGCAATTACCTTATTATTTAGATTTCTATGGGCCACACACAGAAATCTAAATAATAGTACCTTATTATTTAATTTCTGTGGGGCCACAGCATCCACTCAGCATCAGGTGGACTGTGTGCTTGTTTGTCACCCATGTTCTACAAAATACGGAGTTATATAATAATACTATAATATTGTCGTATCGTAAGGCTAAAAGGTTTTGAACCAGCTGACGCAGTGAAGGTGGTGCGGTACTAAGGTAAATATATCGCTGAATATCTCATAATGAAGGCCAAGACACCAGAAGTTGCAGTTTAATACTCAAAGGTCGCAGTGTAACACGACAGCACACACACAATTATTAGACATGAATCACATGAAGGAGATCGGTAAAGCGGCAAACAAGCGTGACATAGTCATCGGCTGGGACTTGTGTCAAGCAATTGGTGCCATAGAGTTCGTTTTACAAGAGTTAGAACATCAGAAAGACGCGAATGGTTGGCAAATGAGTACTCCAAACTTATTTTCAATGGCTACTTTAGAAGGCTGTCTGAAAATTACAGCAGAGGCCAGGCTAGCAAATGTTAGAAAAAAATTACTTTGTTTGGCTTTGTGGCATTCTTTGAGGGTCTATGTTCAGCTGTGGACTAGTGAAGGGCTGTAATGATAATAATGATGATGATGATATGCAATCGCAGACATGATTGTAAAAAGGGAGGTCACGCATGTTTAGAACACGATGAAGTGCACAGAACCACATTAGTTATGAAAGCTCGCGTTAGTACTGTTGCAAGCCATAATTAATGCCCCTAGCGCCATCTAGTATTGGGTAGCGGAGTGAGGAAAGCCTTCTAGAAAATGCCATGCTAGAACCTTCCACCTCCAGCGTCATCTAGTATCGAATAGAAGAATTAGTAGGTAATTAAAGTGTCAATTTTGGTAATTCAATCGGCAGTTTTTATTGTCCCGAACCCTAAGCTCGTAACAGTACTGTTTAGACGTGTATAATATAGTGGAAGTTATTTTGGACATCATGAAGAATGAAATTTTTTGTTGTTTGAACATCGTGAACTGGTCATATAAATCTAAAAAGACAACTTACTAATAAGAACGGTAACTGTAACGGAATACTGTAAATATAAAAATACTTTAACTATATTTAAGAAATATGAAGTAGGAAGTAATAATAACATTTATATAAATCTTTTCTTACACGAGTAAGAAAACTCTTAAAAATAAATACTACAGTAAGTCGCACAGTCTTGGTGGACCGCCAAGCATCCAGATGGTGTGGAGGTTACCGGGAGCTTTGTCGCAATGTGCGTCGGTGGAATTTGGCGGCTAAATTAATTTGAACAATTTTTGGCAAATGCGATAGAAAATGCAATGAGAACATCACTTTGTTGCGCCAGTGACGCCGCCGTTAACGATTGAAGTCACCCTTCGCTAGATGCGGTCAAGTGGAAGGAACTGGCACTGGGGTACTCCAGTCCAGAGATGAGAACAGTACTCCATGTGCGGGTACTCGTGTGTCTTCTGAGGTTTAAACTGGACTAGAATCGTCCCCAATCCGAGATTTTGTTCACTAAAGACTTGACTTTAGACACAAATTTGTTCCGATATTCGATAATGTGTTCCCGAGAAATATTAACACGGCCGGTGTAAAAAGCACCACCAGTGTTACTAGGAACAGCAACATATAATTGATATACAGAAGAAACAGTATACGTGATGGCATGCAGCATTGTGAAACACTAGCAGTAATACACCCGTAGTCAGAATATCCACCGTCTACTACGACCTTAATGTACCGATCTGCGAGCAAACATGATCCAATCATGTTCACTAATCATGACGTATTAGATCTGGTTCTAACTCCGGAGCACTCGGCCTCAGCGTAGTAGGAGATACTCCATCAAACTCACACGACTTGACGTCTGTGCGCTGTGTAAACCGCACATTCAGCATGAAGTAACCACGCCGCGGGATGGTAAGCGGTGTATAGCCTGCGTCATTGAGAGACGAGTTGAACTCAAAAAGGGAAGTTAAAAGATCAACTTTCTCCTTTACGGCATGGGCCAGTGAATCGTTCTCCCTGAACAGAGATGGAACGGATAATTGACAGAAGTTCTTTGAATCACGTCCTATTTCAAATTTTTCTTATTTTTACAATCTATATATTTTATTTGTACCAGAAATAAAGATGGCTGACATAAGTCACATAAGTTCCCTTCTACTGTATTGGCAAAACACCTTAATAAAATTAGAGGTAGGGAAGAGAGCTTGAGCAGTTTAAAATCTTTGAATCACGTCCAGTCAGTCAACGAAAGATGCTAAGTATCAAATAATGCAGTCTTATTTTTACAATCTATTTATTTGTTTTGTAACAAAGATTAAAATAGAGCAACAAGTAAAATACTTGCGGCGCTACGAGTACTCTATTATTTATCCAGAATATTATAGCAAATTTTATTCTGTACATAAGTGGTGCTCGCAAGCTCAGCACCCCTCGACCATGGCTCCAGCCTTGTTATTCTGTGCTTAAATCAAGCCCTGCATATAATCTCCTGTGCGGGATAGATATTAGCTATCTAGATATTA